AACAGAATGGAAACCCTGCAAGTATCTGGCATTAGCACAGGGGCTGTTCATTATAACTAGGAGAGCTGGCGTGAACACCTCCTTCTGGGATAGATCATTCCATAACCTCACTGACATTATAGCTGAGAAACATCTCTAGAGAGAATAGTTTGTGCACAGATTTGGCAGGAAGAAACAGAGCATTTGTTTCTACCTAATTCAGGTTGAAGTTCATCCTGTACTAGCAGCAACACTTCACCACCATCTTGTGCTTTGGTGTGTAGCTGTGTGAAATGAAATGGTGGTGTCCATCTACTTCTCCAGTAGCGCATGCTTGCAATGCAAAGGTTCTTCTATAGAAGACAAGAGAGCACAGCCAGAATTCAATACAAGTTAATTGCACCTAGGAAATCAGCTCCGATGCAGAGATATGACAGGAGCCTTAGCAATGCTCCCTTCTTAAGGGGGGAAATGCAACTGTGGAGGAGGATCTCAAACCTAGCTAATTGTTAAAGAAAAACGAACAACTCAAGTATTTTAAATAATTGCAGACTTAGCCATGTCACTGCCTCAATCCCAAGTAATGCTAATTCACCTGAGTTTCCCTTTAGCTGAGGGGATGCCTCCCAGTACTCCTATCCACACATTCCTCAACTCTCTTTGATCCTTCTCTTTCTAAAAATAACCCATGCTCAAAAGTGACAGAATAAGTTCTAAAGAACACTGTTACAAAGCACCAACCTGGTGTATGGGGGATCAACAGCCACAGTATGGCATCTATTGGAACAGAGGCAGCTGAAAAACAACAGAAGGGTTAGTTCTCTGGTTAAGGGTTGACTGCCCAAAGACATCAAAACTCAGGAGCCCCTTCTTTCCTCCACTACCTCCTCTTCATACACATCTGCAAAGCTTTATGCAGCACCTTCCTCAGGGGCTGCTGCAGCTGCCATGCTCCATTTCCCACATCACTCCTTAAAGATTTGTTCTGCTTCTACAGCACACTGCCCTCTGACACCTGCTTAAGATTTTGCTCCCTTCACACAGCTGATGAAGTTAATCAATTACTTGCTGATGAAGTTAAACCAGCTGACCAGAGAATCCAGGTTTTTTGTTTTTAATAGTAAATAACAAAGAGTTTTGTTCAAAGACTTCAGCTGTAATTTATTTACTTTCCCAGTTCACCCTTGGTTCCTTTATCACATTGAAGGTAGAGATAACATATACCTGTTTTTTCCTGTGTTGCAAGAGTCACACTGTGTAACAGCACATGTTGCTTTCACAAACCACCACGCTGATGCTTCCTATTTTCTGTTTCATTGTCTTTTTAAAATTAGGTCAGTTACATTGGTTTTATTATTTTCTATAGACTATTCCAGTCTTTTCATCATACCTCACATGGCTTTAATGTGTGCTGCAGTTATCTTTAAGGAGTGCCATTTGCACAGTCACCCTTCACCACCAGCAACCCCAAATTTAGACATAAGGGAGAACTTTTTCTCTCAGAGAGTGGTCAGGCACTGGAATGTCCTGCCCAGAGAGGTGGTGGAGTTGCCGTCCCTGGCAGTGTTCAAGAGGCATCTGGATGACGTGCTGCTTGATGTGGTTTAATGCTAGTGGTGGCAGTGGCGATGAGGAGACGGTTGGACTGAATGATCTTATAGGTCATTTCTAACCTTGTGATTCTATGATAGCCAAGAATGGACCAAGCTGCACAACCTCTCTCTGATTCATTCTACTCTGTACTCTTGGCTTTATTGAGAGGATTAAACCTGAGCTGCACACTCTATGTTCATACATCATTTGCTGTGCTTTGATGTTGTGACCACAAATATTGGCATGCTGTCACAACACAAATATAAGAAGATAAGACTGATTAGACTGAGAAAAAGATCCATCGAGGTCAGTACTCTGTCTCCAACAATGGCCAAAAGCAGATATTTAGGAAAGGAAGGAAACATGGCAGGGCAAGCACACAGTGCCTCTCCTAAGTATCTTCTTGGCTTCTATCGCAACTCAGGAACTTCAGCCAGAGAAGTCTACCAGCCTGGTATTCTTTTCTTAATGAATTCATCCAGCCTTCTCCTGAACTCTTTCCTATGCTTTACCTCATAACACATGTAGACTGAATAATGCTACATGGTAAGTAACATGAATACACAGTCAAAATGCCATTCAGAAACATTAGTTCTGGATAGAATCCCATTTTAAGTGTAATATTTATAAACAACATGATTTCATTTTTTATTTTTTTATTTTTTTTAAATATGCATAGGGCAAGCATCTGAACTAATCAAAACTATTTATTACTGTCCAGATGTAAGTAAACATATTAGCATCATGAAAGTATTTTCCTTCCAAATTTCAGGTTGTGCTTTTAGTCTCGCCTACTCCAATTCTTGTTTCATCAGAACTGTTGTCAGAATAACTCTTATCCATGCTTCCTCCCACTGTCAGAAAACAAGGCAGAAGAAAGTCCAAGAGAACAGCCCAGTTCCCTTGTACTCCCAGATGGCTGGCTGGGTATCTAACACCATGCTCCTCTTTTCTTGGACAGCTGTATCAACTCCCCAGCCCTTCTAATTAAATACAGATAAAAATAACACAAATCTCTCCACGTTCCTCACAGTAACATTTAAACTGAAACATTTTCAGTACTCAGTACTTCACTTTCCATGGTGTCTCGGATACCGGTTATCTCTTCAAGCAAGTTGTTACTAAACAAGCATCAACTTCCTTTAATGAGATCTGTTACACTGGAATACTTACATTTGCCCAGACAAAAGGAGGATGCATGTTGGAACCCATTTTGAACTTTATGCCTAGTTTCTTACACTATAACATGCATTTTCCTTGACTACTACTTTATACACTATTTCTGTGAGGCCATCCTGAAATGATAATAATGCTCAAGTTATTAACTAGTTATTAGTTTGTTTTCTCCAATTTCTCACTTTATTTAAATTAACCAATGCAGAATATAAATGTGGTTTCAAAATCCACCTCTGATGTCATGGGCCAGCATAATAAAATAGGAGACATTACTTTTGGAGCAGTCCTTGTATAATTCATCATTTATACAATAAGATCATTAAATGTTGAAGTTCAGTATGAACAGCAAGCTAATAGAACAGAAGAATCAAAGGATGGGTTGGGTATGAACAGTTAACCCAGGAGAAGTGGTTAGGAATAGTTGCTAAGTGTTCTATTTGTATTAGAAATTTGCCACAGCTGTTAGCACAAAATTATACAGACACACACAGGGGAAGATGCACCTTATCCAGAAAACATTGAGTCATGTATAAAAAAAACCATTCAAATCCCTGATTTATAGGAATGGTACTTCAGTAATTTCACCATTACACAGGTTTCTTTGCATGGGGACACTTAGGTTGACTCAGACAACAGCCAGCTAATGCAGGTAAGATGTTCTGTAAGGCAACGCGCAAGTCTCACAGCTGACTGCATAAATACTGCATCAACCACCATGAGATCTTTTCCTTGGTGGACCTTTGCAAGGCTGAGGACATTCAGCTCATCATGTCATGGAGATAACGAGAAGTAGTCCACACGTGCAGAATAAGCAAATCATGCAAACAAAAACTAGACTCTGGAAGTTTCCAGAGCTGTCTTTCCAACTTCACCCATCTACCTTTCAGGTGCTTTGGTAATCATACTTAATTGCTGTGAAAACACTAAGGCTGAAGCTGCAAAGCACTCAGTAGAAAGCTGCTCAGAGAAGGAAGCAACATGATCATTGAGTGAGGCCAAGCAGCTGCAACCCAACAGCACTCAGCAAAGGAGTCTATTAATGCCAAACAGATGGGAAAAGAAGCACTCACTCAGTTTAGCTTCACCTCTACCACAGGGTTAGAAGATCTATTATTATACCCGGCTCTCAAGAACCAGAATATGTAGTAACTAGTTACTGATCTATTAGATACACCTACACAATAAAAACCACCTTAACAGACAATTATGGTTTGTAACATCACCAGCTTGCTTTTTGCATAGTTTAGTAGTAGGCACAGCCTCACGTCAGCCTAACAGTTTTTGCCACTGCTGTACTACTACAAGAGATTACCTAACCAGAGATAGCTTTTTATTCTTTACAGCTCTTTTAGGAGAATCCATTTTCATTTCTCTTTCATAGCCGGGGACCACAAGATGTCCAAATGCTCTTAAAAAATAAAGCAACCTGTAGTAGATTCACCCAAGGTTTTGCTGGTTTCACAGTCCAGTAGCAGCACAACAACCAAGAGAGTAAGTGAAAAAGAAGTCAGAATAAGATAAACTATGGCAGTAAGCAATAACTGCATGCTGTTTTTCAGGATGACTACGGCAGATTTGAAAAGCTGTGACTTCTTTATACTGACTTTGTTCTCTACAGTCTTTAGTTTCTCCTGCACTATCAAGCTGTACAATTAATGAATATACCAATGTTATGGTATAGCAGTGTACAACTAATGAATATACAGATGGTACGGTATAACAGAGAGCTTGGCTACAATGTTGTTACACCAAAGCAGGAAACAGAAATGATCGGTACACTCACCCACATACCCACATCCTGGGCTCATGTGGAAAACTCCAGTGGAATGGATCTCCAGAAGAGCTCCTTCCCCACTGTTGGTCAGCTCTTAAATGGGTCTGGGAGAGGTGCAGCCAGGCTCCCCCCCTTCCAGCAGCACAGGAGAATTGCCTGCACCTGTGCTTCTCTGGCTGACTCAGTGCTCGCCTCAGGTGGTCAATCAGAGGTTCAGGCCGTGATTCAGGTCCCCATACACAAGCCTAGATGCAATACACAACTGCCACATCTTCCCACGAGGGAAATAAAAACAAATAATGTCTTTTTCAGGATTGGCAGCTTTGACAACTTAGTGGTGTGCAGGAACCAGAAGCAATCTATGAAAACACAAAGTTTTTACTTTTCGTGTCTTTTATGTGTAGGTCATTGGTAAGGAGCAATGATCTCATCCTAAATAATGTGGGTGAGAACAGAAACAGCCAAGTTGTTGTCAGGGTTATGATAACCTTGAAATATTTTTATTCAGCTGAACAAATCATACAGAACAGACATACTTGAGTTCCAGAACTTGAAAGCATTTAGACAGGATCAGACAAACCTAAACTACAGATGACAATGGGTTTTCTTAAAAAGTCTACATAAAATACTGAGTTTAACATTTTCATTAGCTTTAAAAAAAATAATTAGATCATATATACACTAAATCTGTTTGGAATGGATTGCTTGTTTACAAATGAAAGCATTTTACACACGGAAACTTGTCTTTGCTCTTAATGAAAGCAGCTTTGACATTTACAGCCTTTTTATATTGTACTGAGAACAGCTTTCGGATAAAACTGTTTTCTCCATTTTTATTTACATACATATTTAATTATTTCTGCTGTTTTTCATTTGCAAAGTAAAACCAATATCTAAAAGGAGCAATTAATTCCTGGAAACTTCCATTTCAATAAAAGACATCTGGAGTGCAAATCCACTGTGAGTGAAAGGTATTTAAACATATCAGAACTGTTTAGCAAAATATCTGGACATATATTTTAGTTAGTTCTGATGTTTGTTAGGCTGCCACCAGCTTGCTCGTGAAAGACTGAAGTATTTTCTGTCACCAATCCACAGTCATCCGATTCAGGTTCTAAATTATCCGAGTAGAATGGAGATCAACTTTGCCACCACGTGTACGTTGAGGCTGTTTCCCAGAAGACGGTAGCATTGCTTTATTGATACTCTGTCAGGAAAGCCTAAAATAAAACAGCGCAGAGTCATTAGTCCAGGGTTCTCCCTGGCTTTCTGGCTATTCCTTTTTCCAATGAGCAGTTTAGAAATACAGACTTCACATATATTAAAACACACACTCCTACAGTTCACAAATTTATAAATACAATTGTACACTGCACAACTGCTACTTAAGAGAAAATGAAAAGAGTAACGTAGCCACAGGAGAAAGAAAATAAAATGACTCCACAGATACAATAAAATGCATTTCATTACAGGCCTATATATTTTAACTCCAATCTGAGGCCTTCTGACCAGTTATAATTAGTCTCATATTGCAAGATACTACCAGTACAGATCAGGCTATGAGGAAGGTTTATTCAGGGAGAGATCAAGCAGCTGAACAATTTTCCATGTAATTCAATGCTGTCCTTGTGGAATGCACTCAGAAATACAGACACCATCAAAAAGTCCTTCACATTGTAAATGCATTGACTGGCAAGAAGAAAGGACGACCAGAAAATGTTACTGTGAAAGGGCTGTGTTCTGTATTGAATGTGCAATCACAGGTGACCAAGCTTCTGCAAATTAAGAAGTTGCCAACTGGCTGGTCTGCTGTACCTGTCCTTGCTTGCTCTCTCAGCTCACTCCAGCTACAAGCTGAAGTGTATCTGCAAACTGACTGAAAGATGAAAAGCAGTGGTGATTCGATTGTTACGGTCATTTGCTAAGCTGCTGAAACTTGATCACGTTCAATTATTTGCCCGTTCCATAAGAAGAAACATGTAACTTTGACCCTGAGGTCATCACCACCCAGCTTAGCTTTGATGCACAATTGGTGTGAGGAAGGAGTGATACATATATTCTGCAGTTTTCAGAGCACCTCAGAAAAATCCTTGTCCAAGGAGAGCTCAGGAGAGAACATGGCTGGATAGCTGCTGTGCCAAGGGTGGGAAGCTGAGGAGGAGATGTCTGGGAGGAACTGTTCCATCCTTCTCTGCCAGTTATTAATGCCTTGAATACGGACTGCTTTGGTAAACACGTTTTCTGCCAGCTCTAGCCATTCTGAACAGCTTCTCAGTGCTCAAATTTGAGCACCCCTTCTTTTCCCTTTGGAACAACCATTTGCATTTCCCCACACAGACTTAGTAAAATTGTTTTCACACTGTATCATTGAATAAGGTACATAAACTACACACTTCAGAAGAGTACATGAAAATAAATGTGTATTTATGCACACACATGCACATGTAATTAGAGCTCAAGAAGCTTATCTGCACACTGATAATTTCAGAGTTTCTCCTGCCTTTTGGCAACTGAAAGCCATAATTCATTTTCAGGACTGTTTTCTATATCCCAAACCTCCCTTCATCTGCCTGTTTACGTTATCTTGCATCTTCTGTCTTCTTGGCTCAAGAGCAACTACATCAGGACAGATTTAACAACTCATACCAGACCGCTCGTACTTGTTGCACAGATCTCACCATATCATTCAGGTCTTGCATGTTACTTTGCAATGCTGAAGTCTTGACAACAAGCACTACCACAGAGTGCTGCTGCCGTTCGTTTCTTAATAGCTTACACACATTGCTAAGAGGAAAAATGGAAAAGGCCTCCTGACATCACCCTCATGAAAGCAGGTCACAGGTGCAAGAATGCTCTGATCGCTTTTAATGACACTGCTGTGGGACCCATGATTAAGATAAATGATTGCACATTTTTTCATTGACCTATAGTGCAATTACAACTTATACACTGAGATGTTAAAAGCACAAATAAATCTGTTAACGTTAAGACAAGACAATGACTTTAGCTCTATATCTCATGTACTTGAAAAGACCATAAATCTGTTAGAATACAGACGCAATGATGCTGCATTTAGACACGATGATATTTCTTATAACACTGTTGCTGCAGCTAGCAATATGCTGATATTTGTGACAAAGCTTCCTGACATTCTGTTCATTTTCATTTCAACTCTCGTAGTTTTCTCATTTGTTAATTCATTTGTATAATTCATTTGTTATTTTATTTATTTATCCATGCAACAACAAGTAGTTGCAGTGGGTACAACTCCAGGCTTTCTGACACTGAAAATTTCAGCCAAATTGTTGTTAAAGAACACAGATGCAGTGAAATTACAGTGTATTTTCCTCTGAAAATTCCACACCTCTCAAGAACGATTTCAAATTTAGTATGGAAGAAATGCAATCAGTGACATACCCCTTACTGTAGCCATAAATATAGCAACTTGCAAGTCTTTTCAAGAAAATTTACGGTATGTTAAATCCTCAAAAGAAACTCACAGTAGCTAAATTCACCAGATTCCAATTAACGCAGAGCTGAGTAACACTTTTTTTTCCGCCCTTACATGTACAAAGTGGGAAACATCTAGATTAAAACAAAGGAGTGAAATGTCAGACATGTGACTCAGTGCATTGGGAAAACCTTACTGTGCATATGAATCAGGATTACATGACAAAGGAAGCCATTGGATACGGCTTGTTCCATGTGTTATGGAAGCTGGAAAAGTAGTACAGTGAAGAAGGGAACTGCAAGAGCTGTAAAGAAGGTTCCATCATTAAGGCAGAAGAGTCTAGCACTATAAGAGCTGCGATCTGTCCCTGGCTGCTGTGCATTTCTCTGGTGACAAGACAAGGTTGCCAAGTGAGCACTTCATAGATAGTGACTATCTGGATGCTCCTCAAATTTAGAAGCCTGACTTGTCTTCAGAGTGCAGTTGTGGTTCGCAGAAACATGGAAGGTAACAGCTGCCCCTGAAGATGAGCTCTGACCAGAGAAAGCTTAGCATCATTCCAAGTGCTCTGAAACAATAAAGGTCACTCAAACACATGGAGTCATCTAAACAAATCTCTGTGCCTTGGTTCTGCCTCTATTAAATAGAAGCAACATTAACTCTAGTACACCTCTCAGTGGTATTGCAAAGACTGATCCAATGTTTGGAAAACGCAGGCTGTTATAACAAGCAGTGTATTTAAAAAGAGAGAAAATGGATAATTCTGTGTCCAAAATGGAATTTAAACATTATTATAAGCCTATACATGACCAATCCAGGCACATTTAGCTCAAGTTTCTTTACAACAATGAAAGTCAGTATGGAACTGAGAGATGCTAAGAAAAATGACATCTTCAAAAAAGACAAATCTATTAAAGAAGGGAGGCTATGAAATACTCCAATACTACAATATTGACATCTAACTCAACATGGCACACTCATGAAAAAAGTACAGAACAAGTAAGCTTAGTGGTGTCAACTCTAATGCAAACTCGATAATGTTCTTTTAATGTAATTTTTCAAGTGTAATTGCAAGGAATAAATACAAAAAAAACCTAAAGATATGAAAGAAAAAAGTATATGCAAACTAGCAGCACTCCTTGAAGCCGCTTAGAAAGTTGAAATATATTACAAGTTACTCAAGGTCACTGGTGTCCTGCAAGTCTATACTGCTGAGAGACAATACATTGATCTGATGTAATAGCAGCAGACCAAGTTCCTTGGCAGACAGTAACAGCTCAGTTTCTTTGTCTTTCTTTGCTGAAGAGCAAGGAAAACTCTGGTGCATTTATTGCTGGCTTAATTCCAGTTGACTTGTGCGCAACATACTGGTATTGCCCAGTCTTGTTCCTTGACTCCCTTGTCTCCACCAAAACAGAAAACAAAGTAACTGACCAAGGGCTAGGACTGCCTTTTCTAGAAATTAGAGAGGACTTTAAAAATCATTACTTGAAGAGATTTGTTACTCTTGAGCAAAGAACCATTTGTATACTGTGAAGTTACTCCCTTTCTGTTACCAGCTGCAAACGTATGGAAGGGAGCAAGAAGCTCAAATAGTGAGAACTACGACATCCTAAGCTGGCAGGATATGTTGACTTATCGGTTATGGGTAATGCTGGCTGCTGAGTAAATAGTTTCAACTGTAAAACAAAGATATTCCTTCACCGTCATTCAGTAATACAGCACTCCTCATGACAAAAGGGAATTTAGAGAAAAGTAAGCCAATTAGTAAGAACCGATCAGAAAAGCTGAATGGTCAGAAAAAACTTACAAAATAAAATGCACACATTACTCCCAACAAAAAACTACATTGGTATGACTTAAGAATGAAGTAGAAGTGGGTACTTTGTGAGCACATACCAAATTCTGGAGGGAATCCATGCAGATTTGCTATTTCTCTTGGAGTAAAATACCTCAGTTTTAGCGTTGACAGTTTCATAAGCTTCTCTTCTTCTGTTAAGTTCTCAATGTGCTTAAATACTGATTCAAGCTACAAAGAATATCCAAAACAACAGGTATCACTGACATAGGCAGAACATGAAATTATGCTGTAACACTCACATCGTAACAGAGCATTTCTTTGATTATCACAGTGCCAAAGTCAATTTGAAAGCATGTTAAATGTCCTATTTTTGCAGCCATTATCTTAATATGAGCACTGACAAGAACAAAATCAACGTTGCCATGAAGGAATTCATCACTTCTTCCCCAGGTTTACAAGCTATACCAATACTTAATGAGGCAATCAAAGGACTACAAACATTTGTTAATGACAAAATATTGACTTAGCATAGCTCAGAAATATCATACATGTATGCAAGTTAAGTAGTACAGATACAGCTCAACTGCTTTAATCCATTTGTTTTGGGATTATTCTGAATTCCAAACTGAATTCCTCTTATGCATAGAAATACCTTACAATTATAATTGTAACAACTATAATACCTTACATTAGTGAGTGGCACAGAAGTGCAGGAGGAAATGTTTGTCTGTATCCCCATGCCAAAGTACCACTTTGTGGTGAACTCAGTATCTACAGCTGAACTTTTCAAAATGTTATGTCTTTCCAGATAATAATTTTGACATTCAAAGATTTTAATATTAAACATTTGACAATGCTTACCAGCTCACGTACACAAAAAAGTCCCTAGAATCACAACTTGGCACTGTAATTTGTCAATAGAATTAGTCAATTTTAATGTTTTCACACTGAAACGTTTTCCCTGCGGAATCTCTACGTGACACTACAAATAATAAAATACCAATTCATTCTCCACAAGAGAGGCACAGGTATATCTTGATCCAAATAAATTGCTGTTTGGAAACTCTAAGTACAGCAGATAGAAACTTGGTTTCTTCAAAAGCGTTTTTGCTGTGATATTTAGAATAACAAAGCAGAAGACAGACAAAACAAGCTTTAAGACAAGTATTTCTCATACTTACCTGCACATCTACTGCTGTCTGAAGAACTGAGCCTGTCCCTTCTACATAGTGCCCATACCTTAACAAAAACAATCTTAAATGAGTATTTTCATTGGACCAATGAAATACCAATGATGCAAGATGAACTTCATTGGCTGTAATTAACAAACAGCCTTCTGGACTGATTAAAGAAAAGGCCTTGTTATCAACAATGCTAACTTTGAAATGCAGTAGTCTCTGAAGATAACCTCTGGGGATGAGTCTGCAATCAATGCACAAGGGTTTAACCACGCTAATGCCTTATATAAGGAAAGTAACTCAAGCACAGCATAATCAGAAAGGCCCATCTACATTGCAAACATTGATTTTACACTAAGGCAAAATATGTCAAAGGCCAAACGCTCCTAGGGTTCTAATTGGCCGACCATATTAAAAGCAGGACCATTACGCGTGATCCTGCAGCTTTCAATCAATCCATTAGGAACAAAGTAGTTCAGTCAGATTTAACTTTTGCTTGCTTGCAAATTTTCCACAAAGGGAAGGGATGGGGGATGGGCTTCTCTGCAGAGAAGCAGAAGAAAGAAAGAAATGAAAAACAGCATCCACCTAAACAGTAAGTACGCTTATGCTATAAAAACATATGACAGCTTTTTTGGATGCTTTGTGGTTGACTGCATAACAATATGTTTACTCTGTACTCTCTTCCAGGCTACCATTTAAATATAATCATGGGCTTTCAGAAACAAGCTCTGATGGTCTAACAATGATAGCAAATGAATGTACTGAACAGAAAGAGACTGAATCAATTCATCAGTGGCTTTTGCAAAGTAGAAGAACTTGGAAGATCCTTGCATCAGACACGAGTGGTCTGCATCAACCATTAATACATACTATCCTCAGGTTTCCTCTGTGTAACTGTAAAGACCGCTGTGTTTTAAGCCTAACTCCACAGTGAATAAAGCAGTGGTCTGCCTTCATCAAAGACATAATGACTCAATATGACTCAAATCTTGAGAATTTCTTCATCTGGAAATGCTTATGAGTAGTTCTACCAGTATCAGCGAAACCAACAGCAATTTTTAAAATAAAGTACATGCAAATCTTAACTCAGATCAGGCCAAGGTGACCTAAACATTAACACCACATGAAATTGAACTGTAAACATATAACACTTAATTGGTTAGCAGCACTCTGAAAATTCCCTAATGCCACATTTGATAAGGTAAAACAAATAGCCCTGAGGAATCCTCATCTTACACGGTATCTAATACTATTTGATCTTACTTTGGCTGAACGTATCTGAGACAAAATAAATAAACGAGATAAATTTCAAAGTGGTAGTTCAGAGTTTTATGGGGAAAAGAGGATTTTTTCAATGTGATACATGTTATCTAATACACCCTAATCTAAATAACTGTGACTAAAGAACTCACAAAAAAAAAAAAAAAATCCAGTTGGTATAGCCAACTAGATCTACAAATGAAGATTGTTCTAGCTTTCCTTTTTTAAAATGTGGACAGATAGGCAATGTTAGCTTGAATGTCATTGATTATTATTGCAGTTGCTGACTACAGAAAAATTAATACGCCTCAGAACATAATTAAAAATGGGAAATCTTGCCACAGTGAAAAATGATGCATTGATTTTTGGATATTTCATTAGCAGTTACAATGAAAGAAGCAGATGGCTTAAGAAATTGCAGTCCTAAATTTTCACCTGACTCACAATTGTTTTCTTTCACCCCATTTGTATTTTCTAAGCACTATAAAAAGCTCAGTTTCAAACATTAATATGTTATTTCCCAGTACACTCTGTCATTAGAGAGAATTTCTGCAACTAATACTGCACTGTCTCTGAAGGCTGTTCTTGTCTGCATAGCAAGAATTTATGAGTCCAGAATAATTTGAATCAAATAAATGGCTTTCATTTACTCTGTCCTTCAAAACGGTAATTTTCCTCTTTCACAACTTCAGACCTCACAAACACGTTTCTTAGAGAAACCAATGGCATTCGCACGCTGAAGAAACTCAGCAGCCATTTTCAAATTGTCTCGGAGCCTAAGCTGGAAGGTCCTGCTCCATCTCTCAAACATCACATCTATATTTTGCCCTAAACCCCACCAGAGCTTTTTGACCCCAAAGAAGTCAAAGTGTACGACAAAGGCAGACAGGCAGACAAAAGCACAGATGTAATGTGTTCAAGGTCTCTGAATTAGCGATCAGTGAAGGAGCCATATCCAGATTATCTTCAGCACATGAATCCTGCCGGAACTATCTAAGGACTGGTCAGAACTAGGAGAAAATGTTGGCCATCAGTGTGACTGGTAAGGAAGACACCATACAAGTACCACAGCAAAGAGATTCTCTCTACTGCTCTGAGTACTGTTCTGCTTCATTCAGGGTTCTCTTTCCCAAATCTGACATTTCAGAGCACTCCTAGACTTCTTACAGCAGTGATGTACTGTAAGCCTCAGAAAGAGCTCTGGATGAAGACTGAAATGTAATTGTAACAACTGTCTTAGTGCTGAGCTGTACATGTTATCCGATATGGTTCTCCATGTGGTCATATCTTCCCTTTCCAATTCTTTGTTCCAAAGCCAGTAAATCATGAGCCAAGAACTACAACTATCTGGGCTGACTCCTCCCATGTCATTAAAAAGGCAACAGATACAAATGGAAGAGAGCCTACCCTTTTTATTTGACAACTTTAGTTATGAAACAGCTCCCACAATGCTGACTTCCCCATGACTCAAAACAGTGAGGGCAGAAAAGACATATACCAATGAGAGGTGGAGGAAAGGCTTTCCTGTTGCATGAATTTTGAAATTCTTCTCAGCTTTCTTATTAGCAAAAAGCTGAAATCACAAAATCTGCAGGAATTCAGTTCATCTGACATTCTAATTTCTTCTACTAACAATTAAAAAAACTTGCTATCATTAGCTTTAATTCATTAATTGATCATCATTCTGTTGAAACATCTTGAGAACTCAAACACAAACCTCCAGGCTCTAACTGGCACTTTCCAGTACCAATGCATCCAGTGGAGAAGCTCCTGACAGGTTGCCTGTGGTATTTCAAAACGCTCAACAACATCTGCCATTCAAACATAAAATTCCAAAGCATGAATCAGAAAACTACCAGACAGAAAAGCACTGGTGTTCTGCTCCATCAAATATGATTTGTAATGCTGCAACCTAACTGGTTTTATGATATATGGCCAATTCACAGCTATTTTGACCTACACAGCTGAAACACCCAGGAAATCAATAAAACGTACAGTGGAGACAGTTTTAATGAGGAATGGATCTGTCATGCATGACACTTTGTAACAGCAGTGAGCAATATACAGAAATTCATTAATGAATCAGTACTATACCAGTCTACTGGAACCATATTTCCGCAGGGGTAATTAAGCTTCTGTGAAGGTCAATAACAAATGGCAGTGTCTTTTGTGAATGCGTTTTTGGAGTGGGCACATGATGTTCTGCCAGACAGTCTCATGCTGGCATTCCATTCAATTAGGAAACATGCTACATAAGGAGATTTTTCTACTTTTTTTTTCTCTCAGATGCCTGTCTTTTTTTTGTGAAGAAATAGCTCTTCTTTTTTTTTCTTCAATTTTTTAGTACACAAATGAAAGCACAATACACACTCTAAGTTTCAGGACATGATTCAGCAATACACTTTACTTGCAACTTACCCTTTTGTAAAGCATGTGGATCTCCGGCAAGTGGGTTTAACAATGTCTAACAAGAAAGCGTAGCGTAGCAAGGACTTGGGTGCTAAAAAATACTGACTCATTTCTTCATTCTCATCTTCCAGGAAATCTTGTAACATTTGAATAGAGGGATCATTGTCTTGACTATGCTTCCTTATCATTTCTTCTACTGTTTCAAGCTTAAAAAGAAAGGCCTCTTTTGGCAAGGGTCCATTCTTGCTGCTGCAATCAGAACCAGTGTTTGAAAGTAGACTCTTCTCTCCAGAAGGCAAGGAAGAACTAGCTTCGTCAACAACTTCATCCTTGGTTAACTCTTCTAGATTCTGATCTGGGAATCTTGTCAATATCTAAGAAATAAAATTGTGAGAAAGATTAAGTAACTGCATTTGATAAACAACTTGACAGCAGAAGCTGTAGTGATTAAGAATTACTTCAGAGGTGCAAATAACCATTTGGTGTTATTTTTACAAAGATTAAAAAAGAAGTAAGTTAGCATTGAGATCAGTTGACCTAACAGCAGTGATGATGGAAAGAACTGCAAATAGTTGCCTTTACTAAAAGACATTTCCGCCTCAACTGCTTAAAGCCAACTAAGCCATTGATATGCATTTCAGTCTTTAGAAGACACAGCACTGAGGCCAAACAAAAAGAGACAGATTTCAACTTATCTGTTGATATCTCTTATCTAATCCATTCCTGTCCACACTACTAAACTGAAAATTTAAACTACAATCTTCATTAAATCAAGAAAATTGAACAACAGAAATTAGACTCACCTGACCAGGAACATGAAATAAAAATGGCTCGTGGTGAAGCTTTGCAATTAGAAAATATCGCAGCCTAGAATTGGGAATGCCAAGCTGCAAGCAAAAATCCACAAGCTTTTAGTCCAGGTGACAAATGGAGAAGAAATGATCAATAGCAGTGTAAAAGTTACCTATTATTATTTACAGTAATAAGATTATTTCACACTAATGCATTTTGCCACTTAAGAGATATCAAAATTAATTGATAGTACCTAAATACTCCTAATGAACCATGAACATAATTCCCATGCAAAGGTAACCTCAAAGAAACAAGAAGGTATTTTTTTTCTCACGATTCTGCTTTTCTCTGTAAATGAACAGGAACATAAGCAAATTGTTATCTGAGGAAAGAAGAAAGATGAGGCACGCCACTGTTTCCTGGGATGAGTACTGCTTGTTTTTTAGAAACCAGGAAAAAGGTTTCTCCTTTTGTTACAAGGAACTACAGGACATCCAACAATGAAACAAATGTACGACTGGCTTTCAGGTTACTCTACCATGTTTTGTCAAATACATATGGTACCTCACTGATCCCATTTAGTCTCGCACAATCTGGCGCCTCTCTTAATTCTTTTCCAGTTGTCAAGGAAACATACAAACAGTGGCCCTGCCCCCACAAATGACAGTCATGTTTTCTGTGCTGGAAAAATCACAGGCATCAGCAGCTCTGAAACAATAAGGTTCCTGCAGGGAAGCACCTTCCTGGTCATGGTTTACGTTCACACCTACTTTAAAAAAACGGCATGGGGAAAGGTAGCAGACAAACATTTCCTCCTGCACTTCTGTGCCACTCACTAATATTGTAAGGTATTTCTACGCATAAGAGGGATTCAGTTTGGAATTCAGAATAATCCCAAAACAAATGGATTAAAGCAGTTCAGCTGTATCTGTACTACTTAACTTGCATACATGTATGATATTTCTGAGCTGTGCTAAGTCAATATTTTGTCATTAACAAAAAATGCATGACTAGGATCACAATAATAACATCAGTAAGATGATGCCAATGTACCAATGAGAAATCTGTCATATCAGATTGCTCTCATTCAGAAGCTCTGGGCACCATCCCCTTTTCTGATAAACACATCATTTTCAGATGCCCTTGGACTCAGTGTTTGAACAGTTAAATAATCTTAGAATAAAATTAATACTCACACAGGTTGGAGACAAGAGAAATTCTTGATATTTAAATCCACATGTTTCTAGTGTTCGCAGAAGTTCATTTCTGACAGTGAGAAGAATCAAGAAGCAATTATGCCCTTCATAAGACCTTATAAATCCTTTAAGTTTTTTTTATCCTAAGTGAAAACACATCAAATGTAGTACCTTAGGTACTGAGATTTCACATTCGGTGAAAGAATCAGACAGAGAACTACACATGTAAAGTAACCCATTTCTGAACTCACAGACAACATACAAAATGCAGTGTTACTGCAGCTAAAAATGACCACTACGAATTCACAAGTACCTAACACCTATGGGGGTGCAAACACCCCTTCAAAAATATTCCATCTCTAGAAGTGTATATCTCTGGGTGAGTGTGCCAGCAAGGAAAATAATAAGAGAGCATAACTTCCTCTTCATTGTGAATTATAAAACTTGACACTGAAATCGATACAAATGGCTCACTGTTTCCCTCTGTTCATGCACATGATATCAGCTAAGCTTAATAAAACGTTTAATAAAGCTTATTATAAAATTTATATTATAAGCTTAATAAAAAATTAAGCCAAAAATGCATGGATTTGACAATAAAAGCAAGCCTGGACTGTGCTCTGCAAGCATAAAAAAAAATCACTGATATTGGAGTTTTCCTGTAAAGATTTGCCTTTCCTATTCCATGCAGGCTGTACATATGCAGGCTATATATAACTCACAAACTGTGACCCTATATCTGGCACTGTATGGTACTGCAGCCCAAGAGAAAGCAACCATTCTGACCAGAGTGTTTCCTGAGTTACAAACTGTTCCAAACACTGGCCAGCAAGGAGCAGCCTTAGGAATCTCAGGCTCTCCAGGAGCAGTCCAAATCTCCAATAGGACTGCTGCATGCTTTAATCAGTGAAAAAGATGAAGATGTCTCCCAGCTGCCTGCCACATGCATGAAGAAGCATGAAGAAGCTAGCTGCTCTCCCACTGATTTAAGAAATGCAAGAAAAGATCCTACTTTATTTCCAGCAAGAAATGAGGAAAGATGACTAAATCCCTGTCTCTCCACAAGTGAGGAAAATGGTCCTGCTGTTAGTAAGTAATCTTATCACCAACCTTCCTCTTTCATATTTCAGACAGAAGTCATACGCAGATTTCATACTCTCTTTATGAACTGTTTTATAGCAACAGTGAATCAGTAACAACATACTATCAACAAAAGCACTGAAGAAAGCTACTGCATTCTATTGTGATCTCAGCACAAGGTACCAAAAGCTCCTGTCATCGGTAAAATCCAAAACCTCTCCTTGAAAAATAATATTGTTCCTTTGTGAAGGACAACAAGTCATCAAAGAAAAACAGCAGAGTCAAGTTCTAGTCTGTTTTATATGCTTAGAGAAATAGTTATTTATTAGGTTCCTTTCACAAGACTTTAATTCCCAAATTAAAACAGTATCTTTTACCTACAGCTGCTAACTGTGCCATCTCACTCTTTTCTTCTCTTAAATTCTAGGAAATAAAAATCCTGCCTTCTTTATTAAAAAATAAACCATGTATAAGTTAGACTTTACCTTGCAGAAGAGGATTCAAATCCCTTAACGTTTTCTAAAAGTAGGTATTTTGGAAGCTTCTGGAGCCTAAAAGAAAGATGAAAATATCAATAGATCACAGTTGTAGGAAGTAAACTACATTATATTTATCTACATACTTGTTTAGCTACAAGATCAAAATATTTCTGTATCATGCTAGCCCATAAAAAGATGTACCTCAATGTCGCATAGATCAAGTAATTCCCATATGAGTTGTTGGTAATTCCAAACAACAAAAGCCACATTTGTTCAGATGGGCTGCTGTACCCATCTGTATCCCACACGTGATCTTTTGAAAACATATAGCACTGTTCATTTCCTAAAGCATTGACTTATTGCTACTCAAAGATTAAGCTTGTAATAGAAAAGAAAATTATAGGGAATGAAAAATACTACAATTTACCCATGGAATAGAGCACTTTATTTATTTATTTTAAGTACTTAAATCTGAAATCAATGTTATAATACCGTATCCACATTAGTGGCAAAACATCAAAGTCAGTATTCATTTAATTGCTTTAAAAAATACTACATTTAGAGCTCAAACTCCATATACTTTCAATTGTCTGTACTTAATTTTTTTCATTTTCATGAGGAGGGAAGGAGAAGTAGCTGAGGTTAAACAACATCAGTGCAGAGGTCTGGAAATTCCAAAACCAGCTTATTAAATCTCTGGAGAAAGAACCATACCAAAACTGCGCCAGGGACCATTTTAACAATTTAAAACCATGAACGATTCAGATTCAAGTGACAAGGAACATGCATTGGAACCAATACTCCAGTAAGACCATCACAGATACACAACGTCTACCATATCTAAGATCTCAGAACAGTGTACAGGAAGAGAACATTAATGCCAACAGACAGTAAATCCAGGTTTATTTAAGTCGGGAAGTGATTTCAGACTTACTGATGTAAATCACAGCAGAATTTGTTTTGGCAATTTCCAAACTATCATCAGTTACAGAAATTCGCATGAATAATTCCAATGTTTGGCAAGAAATTTGAAAATGTACAAATACTACAGCAAATATGAAAATACTGAAAATAACATTGAAGTGGAAAAAAAAAAGTATCAGCCAACCCCCCTGGGCAGGAATGGAGAACGTATCTGTTGGTATGTTTACCCATACTCAACATCACCATCACCTACTGTGAAGCTTATTTTTGGAGTAATGAATCCACAGCAGAGCTTGAAGTGCAAAAGCTCATACAGGATCAACGTGTCACAAGGCAAATAATCACTATACAAAGAGTATGTGTTAAATACTTGGCAGGTTTTAACATCACTAACTTCTCTGCAAAATTAACAAACATTGAAGTCTTAGTATTAGATTTCCCTGGGTTATGGTTTGGATACAATAAACAGAAAGTATCTGGCCCGTTTGGGCCAGCTTTTGTGTTCACTGGCTGAGGGCTGGAAAGGTTTCCCAGGTGTTTCCAGATCTTGAAATTCCCTTTTCTGTGCCTTTAATATTTGCCTCCCTAGCCTATCTTTGAGCTCTATTTCAGCTACATTTTGTTATAAAAGGCAGAACATAAGGTAGGAACAGCCAAGGAATGAAAAATTTTTCTACAGTTTCCACAAATTAAATGCATGCTATATCAATTTTGAATACGAGCTAATAGTTCCTATATTAAGAATTTCCCTTTTTAGGGCTGAAATACTCCCTGCATAACGTCTGGCAAACACGTCTTCTTCAAAACATACACAAACGCTATCTCAGTAAAACATAAATCTAATGGATCCAAGAAACTAAGCAGAAGTTACCATCTTGAACACATTACAGACGTCTTACAGTAACTACTGCCCTAGAAACAACCTGTGTAAAGGTGATAAGGGAAGTCAGCAGCGTCTCACAGGCTGCTGAGATAAAAGTGCCACAGCCAAGCCCAGCTCTGCATCACCATGACAAAAAACATGTCCTGTAGTGTCTAAAGCATTGGTTTTGGGAAGGAAAAGTCTCTGCCCTTTATCCAGTTAAACTCACAGCAACCAGGAAGAGACACTTCCATGCCAATGCACAGCAGTGTCACAACAGCAGCCCTACTCTTAACTGCATCTCAGTTTAATGACAAGGAACAGATAGGTCAGAATTTCCTCAAGGATAAGGAAGGTACTATAATTTTGACAAACATATACTACCTGATGTTTTTAGTTTGTCATTTTGAAAGATCAGTCATGAGAAGAACTGACTTTTTTTTCTTCAAAAAAAAAACACATCTTCCACCATTTTCTGAAACTTACAATATTTCCCTTTTTTTTTTTTTTTTTTTTTTGCCTCTACTAGATGTGGAGGAGAAATAACATTCTTCCTTTTTACCTATTTTACCTATTATTTAGCTAACTTACTGGGCTATAGAACTTTGTGAAATGGTTGTTCTGTGTTCTCTGTCACAAATTCAACAAGTGATCCCAGTCAAGCCACTCAGCCTTTCTGTGCCTCTGTCCTCCACCTGCTGATGACAAGGGCAAAACAGTGTTTTCCCTAATGCTGCCAGCTGTAAAGCTGGTTCTGGAAGAAGAATGAAGGAACTTACCCCAGTGCTAATAGTAAATTGAAAGAAGAGAATACAGGAGTATGGTGGTGGGAAGAGAAAGACAGACAGACCTCTTTCCCTCCACCTCCTCTTCTGGAAGTAAGATTAGCCAACAGAAGAATACAGTGAACAGCTGCCCTTGTTTATGAAGAGTGTCTGGTGGATCATAACTCGTGCAAATTTTCAGGCTGATGCCTAATAGACATCTCAATCCATAGGCAGAGATTTCTGCAAAATAAATCCCTCTGAACAACTCCTTGCTTGCTCCATTCACCTACAAAGATGCTTAAAATGCTATGCATCTCTTCCCAAAAAAGACTACAAACATTACTTGGAGCTGATTTTTAAAACTCTTAATAAGAACAATTTATGTCAGCAATAAACACTTTGAATTTACTGTTCAAATTTAATATATGAATAACACAAACAATTAAGGCTATTTTATTAGGAACCAGAGTCGTGCCAGACAAAAAGAATAGATTAAGACAAAAAAAGAGCATTGTTCAGACAGATCAATGCTATTTGAAACTTTTAGTGTTACCACTCAAAACAAAATTACAAATCAAAAAATACAGTCTGCTATATTATAGCTCGAAGTAACATCAGAAAGACAGAACAGACACTTTAAGAAAGAGTGGAATGGGAAAGAGGACATACTGTATTGTGCAGCTGATACCATGTTTAATGAAGTTTTCAAAATGTTACTTAATGACATTGGTAAAATATAAGTATAAATTATTTTTGATCATATGAAAACAAATAAATAGTACAATAAAATATTAGCAGTATCCCTGCAGAACATTACAGATTACTTACAACATAAAATAACTACTTAGTAACACCAAGGGCTTAAGAGTTGAGGTGGAAGTTAACTTGTACCTTGGGAGAATATCAAGAATATAAAGAAAGCTCTTTGTCCTCGGATCAGATACATCACCTTGTAGGCCAATTCTACAAAATAATAAGGAAACAACTGCATTTTACTTGGAGCACACTGTTATTCCACTTACATTTTTCTACAGAAAGCTGGCACTTTTTACTTCAAGTTTTGAAAAGAGATTCTGCAAAATCATCGTGTCCAGGCATGAGGCAGTATCCTCTGCAATGCCATCAGGAATGAGTGTGACCTGAAATCCATTACAAGGTTAACACTGAAGCATTCAATAATGAAACTCACACCCCAGTGTGCACAGCATTAGTATTATGGTCTTAGACAGTAAAAAAACTCCTGAAGGAACAACAACAGCAGCAACACAAAAGAGCAGCATTTGGGCATAGCCAATTACTTTATACCAAATATATTAAATTATCCAGACAAGTTAAGGTTACAGTGCTCACCATTTTGCAGGATTGAGCCTGATGTGGATAACTTTTTAACTAATTTAGAGCTATTGAACTGGACGGCTTATTTACCTTACAATAAGGAGATTAATTGGATAATGAATCCAGGCCTTGGTTTCCATAACTTGTACTAGTTGTTTAAAAGACTAAGTCTTGGTAGAAGAATTTAGCATGTCTCTAGATTAATTAGTCATACACAGTCCATTCTTTTCATTACATTACAAATGAAAATGTTATATTTATAGCAAAGAGAACTGCATTTCCTTACTATAATTATGTAACTATATTATAGTTGAGAGAACCTCTTCTCCAGCAACCACTGCTGTCAAACTAGTTGCATTTGAAATAAATTTGACAAGCTCCTAGCAATTTCAGTTCCTAAACAATGAAGATATTTCTCTATGTCATCCATAAAATCATTTCAAAGCCAACACATTTTGAAAACATCACTTGTGTCTATGTGCAAATATTGATACACTTCTCTTGGCTAAAATAGGAACATTCCTCAGAATAAACTGCGTGCATATGTAATTTTCAAAGGACTTGCAAAGTTCTTATTAAAGAACAGATTCCAATCTTAATCACCCGCAGAAGGGAGAAATTCCAGTTCTCCCTCTGGAGCAACCCCACTGAAAAATTAGACTTCCAATTAAAGGGAAAGGAAGCAGTTCTAAATGCAGACTTATTAATTCCACTGTCAGAAAAACAGTATTGTGTGCAGAACAGGTGCTTTAGGCAGTCCAATCAATTTTAACTGAATAAAAAGGACATACAAAGTATAATCAATAATTCAAATTCAAATTCCTGCATTTCTTCCAGTTCAGTAGAACCTTGTGGTGAACACAGCCACAGAATGGTTGCTTAGGAAGATAAAGCTAAAGATGGGCCAAACACCATAACATGCATGAAAACATTTATTCGCCCTTTACTCAAAGGCCGCTGTATCTACCTTGTAAATGGCTGGCAGGGAGGACTCATCAAAATCATATCAAAAGATAATCTGTCAAATTCTTTCAGTGTAATGCCCTGAATAAGGGAAAAAGAAATATAAGAATGTTCAGTGCTGAGAACTGTACAAAACTATTAAACCAACCTTCAGACAAAACTACCCCATTACACCCACAGTTTGTTCTATCTAGTAAAAAGCTCCCTGACCTCCCACTTAACCTAATAATTCCATTCTTTTCTACCTCAGAAAACCACACAGAGCAAATACGCATTAACAGCCTTGAAAATGAACCCAAGGCACCAATGATACCAGCATCTATACATAACACTTTTTTAATTTAATCACTCTTTTAGAAGAGATGAACTAGTTCATGATTCTTTCAGTAGATCCTGATTAAAAGGAATTAAAAAAAATGTTTGCTTAATGGCAGTTTTTGAGATATGACAAATGCTTAGATTATAATCCATCGTGCATACAACACAAAAAGCTGTATGTGGCATAGCTTTCAGTTAATCTTAGACAGATGTGTTTTAACTCTCAGGAGCTCATTACCAACACATCCTATGAAATTTACTTCATTCTAGTTTTTGCTGAGTAAAAATCACAGAGAGCTGTTTCATGGCTGAAAGCAATAGTCTGCAAAAGCATTTCTGTTCAAAGAGAAAAGACTGTGGCACAAACTAATCGCTTGGGTGTTAGTTCTCCTATATTAAATTCTAACAGTAGGTCAGTATATTAAGGGGCCAAGAGGAGAGAGGGATCCATCAAATAACTATAAATGAGACAATAAAATCACTGCTTTGCATATTTTGCAACATATCTATAAAGCGTAACATAACTGCCCACAGAAACTGGACAAAATTTCCTCTGTTTTTCAGTAAATTTAAGGAAGGTCTTACTGACTGTAATCTGCTCTTCCCTATAACAGGAAGATACAGGCAATCTTTCCACTTCTTTTCCCATATAAAACTGTAAACTATTATTAGTCTGCTATTACTGAGTGCTGAATAAGCAGCTAACCTTTAGCCACCTTACTTAAGCTGATATCTTAAAACAAATTCATTACCTTACTGTCATGTTGTAAAACTGCAAAAGAAGATTAAAAAGTATGCAGTAACTTCTGCAAGTAAAATCCCATATCTAGTTTGCCCCTCTGTTAATCTGAGACATCTGTACCTATTTCTTCCCTAATAATTTGGTAAAGAGACAGAATTCCTAAAGCATTTGACCTACTGAGGCCACAAAGAAAATGCAAGGCATCTAGTATATTTTCCTATGTTTTACTCAGATCAACTATAATTACAAAGTAAAGGCATGATTCCAACAGATTTAATGAAATTCTCTCAAAACACTTAAAAACATTATTTTTAATATAGAAATGTGATTTTTGTCATTCCTTTAGAGCTGGTAAGCATTCCACATGACACTCACATAACCTTCCTTAATGCAGCAATCAAGACTTCCAGGAAAAGATCTCACTGTAAGTATCCATCTGCTTCAACAAGCAAATACAGCACATTAAATGACAGTTACTGTAAAACTGCTGTTCCCCTAACATCAATAATTAAGTCTGTCTGTTTCTCTTTGGTACCAATATGGATAGGAAGTCAATCAACTTCTAGAAATGCCAGGCTAGAATAAAAAAAGTCATTACCTCAATTGTCTTTGCCCATAATGGTGTGCTGGGAAAGTTGTGCTTATAAACTTCATTGGCAAGAGTGTTCACATCCACAGCAGCAACAACTTCTGCACATACACAGCTTTCTAAAATTAAAATAAAATAAAGTTGAAAGTCATAGATTGAATTTTTAACTCTCGAAATTTAATTTTGTTCAGTTGTATTACAGCTATGCTCAGAAATAAAAGAGAAATTACAAAATCAAACTCCGCTGTGTTGCCTTTAAAACTCTATATGAAATACAGACTGTTATTAATTGGAGGCCAGAACTTCCCTCTCTTATATATCCAAAAAGGGAAGCTAACTGTGCATTTCTTAATTTGTAGACACAGCCACACATAAGTCCTGAACAGATTGTATCTATAACATTCCCACCCACAGGCACCCTCTGTGGTGACCAAGTTCCCTCACCATAGGAAGGCAGCCCAAGTCAACCTGTCGAGTCCCACAGCAGCTGCCTGCAGCTCCCCAGCCACTGACAGCTTACAAGATACATAATTTATTGCTCCTCTGTACCTCTAAAATGTGTTTGAGATATGCATACTGCTGCAGTAAAACTTTAAGGTACCTGAAGAACGTTTGTGTGCATATTCCCCATAACAAGTTGGACCTCAAACCCAACTGCTGTATCCTTTGGTTCCAACACCCCAAAAATACCAAACATTTTGAAGGACATTTGGCAGATCCCGATCTCTTGATATCAGACAAAGCATTCTGGGACACTTACAGTCATTAATGGAGGAAAACATAATAACAAACCTACTGAGAGCTAAGAAGTACACTAATGAGCACGGTTATTATAAAGAACTCTACAGAAACTATAAACACTTAAAAGAACAGTATTTAATCTGCTGCTTTTCACACTATTCATCATTTTGAACACTATCCCTCACTGAGGCTTTCTGTTGGAAAGATAGGCTGCGGTGACTGTTAGACGTGCAGGCAGAGAACAGCCAGCCTGCTTATTATGATACACAGCACCAACTTCAACCACCAGGAAACCTACATCATGATCACCATCACAAAGCCCCCATTGAAACACGAGCCATTTTAACAAAGCTTGAGCAAGCCAAAAGAAACAAGGCAAAAAGCCATTTGCCTTCAGGTAGTCTTACAGCATACTCAAGTGACACATTAACAAATGACCTTATGAGACATCTAACAAATTACTGTGACCCAGCTAATTATTTACAGTTTGAAAAAACAATTATATAATTTTGAGTGATGCGGTTACCACCCATCTACTATCTTTTGCCATGCATATTTTCAAGGCAATACTATTCAAATCAAGATGAAAGAGAAATCTGAGTATTGCAAAGGTTGCAACAGATGCCTTAATAAAGATCACTGTAGTTGTTCTGCATTTATGGAATGCAGTAACTGGCAAGATGAGCCAGAGTTTCGATAAGAAAAAGAAGTAGGGACTGCCCACTAAGGGACAACACATAAATCATTATTTGCAGTCACTGTGTTGATATGGTGACCATAAAGTGTAACCAACCCTAAACACAGGCGTACTCTTAAGGACACCAGAGTGCCTACACCTGAGATTACAGAACAGGTACGTTAACACTGACACCTAGTGTGAAAAGAGCATCACCTTTGCAGGTCACTTGTCAAAACTAAGAAGCGAAGTCAAGAGCTCATACTTTCCCCTCCCCAAAACAAAGCTACAACACCTGAGCAATGGTAACAAACTTCAAGCACTGTTTAAGAGACTGCTTTTCTCTTTTATTCTCTCAGTTTTTGAAAGCACATTCTCCTGACAAACAGATCCCTACTGTGTGTTCCAGGCACTCCAGAAGGAAAAAAAATATCAGGAATTTCAAGTTATTATGTAAATTCACACAGTTTATAAACAACAGTTGAAAAGCAGGCAGTGTGCTTTCCCTGCAACTCATGATTCAGATGTTCATCCTTTTTACTAACCTCAACTCAATCTCTTTCATATACGCAAGAAAGAAAGAAATACCTGATTACTTTTTCAAAGCTTCTCTTTTCCACTCAATAGCTGTGCTCACTTTGGAGTTCCTGTTACAAAACAGACTCCCTCTAAAGCTGATTAAGTGTATTTTTTTTGTGTGGAAATACCCTAGAAATGCATGAAGGACCTCAAACAAACAAGCAGATCTCACTCATCAAACCTAACAAAGAAAAGCTTGTGCAGATTTCACACAATGTGAAAAAGAAACAATTTTCAACAACTCTTCTCCTGAAATTTACATAATTTTGATGTTAAACTGTGATAATTTTGCTATGGCAATTCTACATATTATTTGAAAATAATTGTAAGACTACATCATAACAAGACTGAAAGCAATCTGCAAAAACATAATCAAGACTGTGTTAAGCTGTCTCCACTGACAAAAGGTACAAAATCAACTCAGAAATATGAAAGAGCCCCAGAACTGCTCAATTAGCAAGATGAGCTCCACAGAATGTATAGCAGAACTTTCATACTGAAACATAAATGGATCTAGACGTTTTGTTGTTTTTTGGGTTTTTTTTAAACAAGTGAAATTTTCCAAATATAGCCATTAAGAGAATTGCACCCCTGCAGAAAAGAATTCCGTTTCAGGCAGACTAAGGAAAACACACATTTTCCACATGACACTGATTAGTTGCTGGAATATTTGATTTGCAACACTCCTCCTCAACACAGCCCTCAAAACAAGACCGCGTGTTTCTGACAAAGATGTCGGAGCTCAGAAGGAAGCCACAGGCCATGGGAAGGCAGGGACAGAGGTGTCACAGCCTCTTTTTGTCCTCTTGGCTGAAATCAGATGAACTCAAAGTTCTATCACATTGATTCACACTTGAGTTTTAAAACCTCTTGAATAAGCATATGAGAAACTCTGTAACAATATTTAATTAAGTTACAGAGGCAATGACCAAACTTCAGGCCTCACCAGTGTGAAAGGGATACTGCTGCAGTGACTGAAAGGTGTGGCATCTGACACAAAGACAGGCAGGATGCCTGCGTTAGCTTCTGATGTGGAAAAAAAATCAGACCCAGAGGGTGCCATCTTCAAACTCTGAAAACAAAAATTCTGACATTACTATATTTGTCGTTTTCCACTGCAGAAGTATTGATCCCTTTTGTCATGCAGACCTTAAAATTAGAATGGATCTGTTTATATTCATCCTTCTACTTATGTACTGAACCCATCAATGTCAGACAGCGTGCTGTTACACCAAGGGCATAGCCTGGCAGATCCCACCGTGCCGCAAAATCAGAGTCAAAACAATTATCTACCCTAACAGGTATACGGGAACAGATGGAAAAAGGAAGATTAGTCACATATTGTGTCCGTTCTGTTTCCCTTTCAAACAGACAGCAAAGATTTCAGTTCTGAGCTGTCGGCTCGTGGCCTAAACGATTAGGCAGAACTGTCTGTGACTGCAGTTAACACGATTATCAGCGAATCCGATACTCGCTTCCTGCAGGATACTGAGCAACTTTTTTCCACTGCTCTATTTGTACGGCTCTGCTCAGTTCAGCCTAAAAACTATGTAAAATCACACTGCAGCACAACTGGCACCATCACGTGCTACAAAGCGCTGTATTTTAGGGAGCAATTAACATCAGTGCTAAAGGGCACTCAAATCAGCAATGTTTTTGCATTGTGCTGAATGTTGTGGCTGCAGGTCGGTGATCTCCTTTTCCCCTCCTCCTGAGATAGCTGTGCTACGTACTTACTTCATTGTGCTGTGCAATTCACAGAAGTTATCAAATACAATGAATAACATTAAGCAGAGAAGAGAGGCTACAAAAGAATATTCCTATGCTCAAAAACTATCGCTACCTTCATGGCTGCGAAAAGACAGTATTTTTTAAAAACTGCTCTCTCATATTTTATGCTCAAAGAGCTTCTTCATGACCTGGCAGATTACAAATGCTTGCGGCAGAGACCTGGAATACATTTTTTCATGGGAAAACTGCCTACATTAATACGCCATTTTAAGTTTGTTTTGGTTGGGAATGAGTTAGTGCAGACTGTTTGTTTGATGGAAAGTTGCTAAGGAAATAAGCTGAAGCAAGAGATTTCCTAAAAATAAAACATTGTATTTTTCATTACAGAAGCCCTGCACTTTGTACACAGCCAAACCCTTCATATATACGCATATAAAATAGAATAAAATAGAATAGGCTTAGACATACACCATCTAAACATCAACCTTCACAATCCTTGCAATGCTTGGCGCATAGGATGGGAAGAAAGAAAAACATTTCCATCTCTTTGCTGCCTTGAATCTTCAAGGGAGAGAGCATGAACTGACTCAATGACTTCTGACTTTAATCAACCTCAACTTTCCATGCCTTCGCTGTTAAAATTCAGATATTGCTATAAATCTGAAACTAGGAATTCTGCATGTTGGATTATCTACAGTTAAAGTATGAGCACAAGGCCAGGCAACCTTAAAGATTTTTCTTCTCAGTTTTTGAATCAAAATCAAAATTCACAAATTGCCATTCCATTGGCAAAAAGAACCTGATCCAACCACATATTAATAATTTGTGCATCAACAGTATGTAGCAACAGAGGAAAAGTGGGATACAAACTTTCACTCATTTACTAAAAATCAGCTATTTTTAAGTGTAGGTGAAAATAATGTAGAAACCAACTGCGTGCTACTTGTTCCCAAACGCACTCTACTTTAGTGACAATTGCCAAAACAACGAACATCCTCACCCTGAAAACTCAATTATTGCTACCCTAAAGTAAAGACTATAAAAGATCACAGCCAAAAATGACATCCAGGTAAAAAAGGCAGCATCAGATTTCCTGGAAAATAACTATTTGCCAATTAAAACCACTGACAAATATGCAGAGAAAAAAAAAACAACCAAGGCAGGAGCAGTGTTGCTGAACATAACTGGCCCAAAAGCTGCCCATGTGAAACAGCCAGTAACCAACTCTGAGCTAAGCTTGCCAGAACTGCACAATCCCTGTTGTAGAACAAGTAGCTTTCCTGGAGTGGCTGCACTTAAGTCTTCTATGTTCTCACTCTGTTCTAAACTACTCTGTTATTTTTCCTGGCTCTATAGATTCACTGGAGACAACACCAAGAAAATAAACCATTACACATCACATTAATCTCTCATGTATTGGGCTTAAAAAAGCACTGGCAGAATGAAGGGCTTTCTTTCAAGCTTCATATTTATACAGAGGAGAGAAAAAAAAAAAAAAAAATCCTGCAAAAGGACATCCAAAAACATGCACCAGAGATCTCTTTGGAACAGCATGGTTTCATGTACATGTATAGACCTATAACATATAAGAAATCCTATTATTATCAAAGAAAAAGCACTTTCAAAGGAACATTCACTTTTCTCTGCTTGATTTTCACATAAAAGCAAACACTTAAATCCCCCCTGACTTTCCTTTCTTCCTCCATAAACTAAGAAAACTGAATCCAGATGTCTAAAAGGCTCAAAAAGAAAAGACAGCAGAAGAGATCAAACCTTCCGACTGTATCAGTGTTCCTGAATGCAATTCAATTCATCAAAACCAGTTTTACACAATGGCCTGCCATTAAATGTAAAATTCAGTGCAAATTTTATAGAGTTCTTTTTATTCAGTTGCCTATCAGTTTTAACTAGACTTTAACTGCAAGATTCTCATCTTACTGGAAAGAACGTTTCAGTTAATTCCTTCACTCTCCAGACTACACAACATGTAAGTTATATACATTCCCAAGCCTTCGTGCACAGAGTAAATGTCCTCTGTGGTATGGGTCAAGCAGGGTATCTTCTGGATGCAAACTTCCAGTATTCCAGTAATCATGAAAGGTTGCTTGCATTCCCAACATCCCCATTCTTTCAAGTATTTTGTTGTGTTGCAAATGATCTTTTCTTAGTTGGGGATGGAGATGGCCACAGAGTATCATGTCTGGCATTACAATTCATTAATTGCTGCAGAACATTATCAAACATTCATGAGATATCTATTATTCTGCTAAGGTCAAAGCCAAATAACACTCAGTAAATATCTGTTATACACCTACAAACACCAACGTATGACAAACCAAAGGACAAATGTGTAGCCCAAGTTTCAGGAATTCACTTTCCATGGAAACTGCCTATAACACACAGGCAGTTCCCCACCACTTTAAGAAATAACGCTATTGGAAAAGCGTTACCATTAGCTAAAACACTCTTTACTCCACAAAAACTTCAAAACCTACAATTTCAAATAAATAAATACTTTGCTTTTAATATTCAAAGGATAAGTCTGGAAATAATGAAAATGCATTACTATACCAAGTGGCTGGGATTATTTACAGTAACAACAGAGGTACCTATTTTGGTATTCTGTGTATTTTTACATACTATACAAGCACTCCACAAATAATGCCTCCTGTTTTATTATGGGCCCAAGATATCAGAGGCGGACACTGGTGGTACAGCAGTAGATGCCAAATCCCCCAGTCAATACTCCATTATATTTGGTTGCTGTGTGACAAAAAGCAGCAGACAGGCAGTCTGACATGAAAGTGCATAAAAGTGTGTCATTGAATGCAGAAAAAGCTGCAGCCATTGACATATCAATGCTTGGCAGTGGTGGTGCATTTCAGCAGCGGCAAGAGTAACAGCGGGTCACCTTCCCTGGTAAAGATTTAGGAAAGTGTAGTGTGCAGGCTTTTGTTCACCACTCATGAAAATGCATAACCAATGGTGGTGGCTATGCTGAAAAATAGTGAAAAAAGCAAATTCTCAACTACAAACAGTGCTATTGTTTTTGTATCTGTTGTAGTTTCCATGGAAATAAGTAAAGGCACTACTTTCAGAGCAACCTGTGCATGTGATTGTGTGTGTGAGTATATACATATAGACAGACACGAGCATTCAAGTATAAGTCATTCAGTGGGAAAATGTCACACCAGTAATTGTGAGTACTTGACTGCATGATGAGAAGCAGATTCTACCATAAACATTAATATTTCACAGCTAACTAAGAGAATAACATAAGGTGAGTTTTTTCACTTGATATTTTCATGAAAATGATCTCTGCTGTAGTAGAAGGGCACAAGTATTTGAAGGACTGTAAGCAATTGTTACAGTTATTTTTGTAAATGCCGTACATTTGCAAGTAAACCCATACTCAGAACAGTAATAAAGCCCGTATCAATAGTCCTAGCTCAACTTTTTTATTTGGGGAAGCCAATTCATGGATAGCCTACAGGACTTGGTGAAGGGTACCCAGGCCATAGTTTCAATAATCTCCTAAAATCAGCTCCAGATTTCCTTGCACCAGATCAAAAACACCTGGGCACATGATCTAGCCCAAACTCACTATACCAGCTCAAATTCTATATTTTATTTTCATATTTAGAGAATGTCATACCAACCCCACATGGTTAGGCACGTATCAGCTATTCACAAAGCAACGTGTCACAAGAACACGTGGTCTACCTGCACACCTATGGGACACGCAGGCTAATTTGACTGAGCCCATCCCATACACAGCGTGGGCGAGCCAGCAGAAGACACAGCACGTATTAATGCTCACAGTATTACCACTCTCCAAGTCAGAGGCAGGACCATGGATCCCTGACCTGCACACTCCCAGGCACATGGTGATAGCCAGCAAGCCACGACACTTTGGGGTCCAGCTTACAGCTGTGGGCCACTAACACAAGCACTCCACCAGAGCCCTGACCAATCTCCCATGTCTGCTGCACGGGCACAGCCCCCTCCCCTTCCACACCCCACCGCTCCATTCCAGCCCCTGAGATGGATATGCCTCCTAGCTACGGGATGCGGGGCCGCCTCCCACCCCACAGCTTCCTTCCGCGTGTCCGCGCACGACGGCGCGGGGGACAGGCAGGCTGGGGAAGGGGCCGAGGCGAGGGGCCATCTTAGTCCCCTCGAGAAGATGGCGCTCTTCACAGCCCCCAGGGGTCGAGGGCGCAGCGAGAAGATGGCGTCCAAAGAAGGGGGAGGCGGCGAGGGGCCGCACGGCCGGGCTGCCGGGTACCTTTCAGGGCCTGGTGCATCCCCCCGATGCCGCTGTACAGCTCCAGCACCCGTAGAGCCGCCATGCCTCGGCGCACTGCACGGCCCTCCCGACCGCCTCCCCGAGTGCCGCCCGTCCGTTCCGCCGCTCTTTCGTTCCCCCCGCCCGCCCTCTTCCTTCCCGATCGCCGGCGGCTCCGTGCCAGCCCCAGAGGAGAGCTTCACTGTGGCACAGCTACTTGCTCATTAACCCTGCACAGGGGTTAGGCCCTGCGGACGAAGGCACCCTTTGGAACAGCCTGTCCCCTCACCCGTGCGGGTCTCCAGTGCCGGGGGGCCTCATCGGCGTGTCCCAAACCGCACAGGGTGGGCACGGGAAGAGAGGGGATAAGGGGTCCGGGAAAGGGCCGTGCTCACCGGCCTGGGATGGTGCCAGCCTGCTGTCCTGCTGGGCAGCTGATGCTGATGGTGCGTGGCAGTTCTGCGGGCCTCAGCAATTCTCCTTTTTATCTGCAGGAGTGAAGTTGCGTGCAGGGATAGTTTGAAAAGCAGCTTCAAAGCTGGTGGAATAGGAAGGAAGGAAATAACATGAAACTGTTCTAATTTATCTTAAGGTTGTGAAATTGCTTTCCCTAGATTAAAGAAACGATTCAAAAGCATTGTTGCCCCTGAAAAGCAGCCAGCTTGTAGCAATATGTGCCAGACAGATGCATTTACATGTATACATAAAACCAAAGAGTAAATATCCCGCAGGGTAAAATGTGGATTACCTTCCTCCCACAAGCAAAAATACTTGCCTAGGCCCCAGTTCATGGATTTAGAGTCTAAAGTGAGAATGAAACCTGAAATAAATAACTTAAAAACCTGGACATGTTTCTTGAGTTACTTCTTAAGTTAATCACATTTTTTTTGGCACCTCCTAGAAACCTGTCAAAAATAAGGTGTATTTCTGGACTACTAAACATGATTCAAAGAATATTAGTTTTTGCCAGCTTCTTTTGAAAAAGTTGTCATTCCCTGTGAATCTTCACCATCAGAGTCAGGGGCTGTTGCTTTACCTGTCAGCCAAGGAAGTAATGACTAAGAAAAGAAACCCAAGGCCTACTTTGATTATGTCAGGAAGGAAGCACAGCGGCTGAGATACCAAAGAGGAGAGCAGTATGCAGTGCAGGAAGTGGTGAGACAGGTAGTTTGCACAAACAGCAGATGGAGAACTGAGAAAGAGAGCTGAATCACACAGCATAACAAAGCGGGGAATGTGCTGGCTAGAGAAAGTAGTCATCAGACAAAGATGGTGAGGAAAATTCTGCAGGTTGGGATTCAGGGTAAAGGTGGCTGTGATGAACAAGGTTGGTGTCTGCTGAAAAGATAAGCTTCAGTAGGAGCCCTTGAAAATATAGATAGGAGGAGAAGGTAAAGAGAAACACAGCTTTTAGACTACTGAAATTAGTGAAGTTGATGAGTGGTTTTTATCTCCTTGTATTACTAATGCAGTGATTTATATACAATCTATATACACCACAGCAAAGCTAAATATCATAGTGAGCTGTAGGCAGTCAGGAGCAGTTCATCTATTCGGAGCTGCCCAATTCCCATAGCAATTAAAGCTACAGGACAAACATTTCCTTGTATCAGAAGGAGAGATAGAGTCGAGCTCTGTTTTTTCCTTCCCTTTCCCCAACTCCACAGTATTCTTGCAATTCGCATACCGTAAAGATGGAGACTGGTGAAGAAAGTTGATACCTCTGCCGTATTCATGTCAGTGGAAAATTCTTTCCTCAGGGGAAATTCTCTGCCTACCTCCTCCACCAGGCATCCTGTGTGTAGCAAACCAGAGAGTCTGTTCAGCACACCTCCACTCTGGCAACAAAGAAATTCATAGACTAGGCTAAGATCTTATTGGCTTAATCTTGCAAAGAATGGAAAACACCAACATTTCTCTTGTGCTCATTTTTAAACAACTTCCAGTAACCAGTTTTAATCTTCTGACCAGACATTGCATAATAGAAATTAAGGTATGCTGCCAATTCCAGAGATTAGAGCAATAGCTGAGAAATACCAACATCAGCAGTCACTCATGCCTCCCTTCTCTCAAAAAAGAAGGAGTCCACAGAGCAAGTGTGCCCTGTGGAAGTGATCATTGTTAAGAAAACTTGGTAACACATGTTGCCACCACTACAGAGCAGGCTAGGTTGTTGCTCACTCAGTCTTGTGGCCTGGCAACAGCCACATCACTGCAGAATTTCCCAACTGCATCTGTCTGACTAACAAAATTTGGGTGCTGTGACAGTTCCTTCTGTACTTTGTACACATAGGATGGATAGGATCCCCATAAATCCCAGCCAAAATTTAATTGACTAAAAGAAGAGATTAATAACAGTCAAGTCCAATGTCCACCTCTGGGCCTACTCTACTCTCAGTAAAGATTCTTTAAATTCTTTAAGACTTCAAAGGAAGAAGTTTGTCCTGTGACCCTTCTGATTTTGGCTTCCTGATAAAAGGATTTCAGATTCTGCAGCTGTGTCTTAGCCTTCTTTAGCACATGCATAGGGTCTATTTCATATATCAGTTACACCTTAACAACATAGCTAGCTTTGAATAAAAACCAATAGGGTTTTGGAAAAAAATACGTTTATTTTAAATGAGCACATCTGTAGAACTATGTTAATACAATGATCAAGCATTTATTTTCTTAACTTGAACATATATTTTACTGTTAAAAACAGTAAGTAAACTGATCATTTAAATTCCTTTAAAGCCAGTGACATCAGCATGTGATATCAGCATTTTCATTGAGACAGCTTTTGAAAGCTCCTGCCTCCTGGCAGCATCTACTCAGATTAGAAGCTTGCCCACATCTCTGATGGTTATTATGATACAGGTAATCATGTCAGATCTGAAACTGTTGTCCTGGTAACTAGTAAACTCATCCAGTGAAACAGATGCACGTGGTAAGAGGAACACGCAAGCAAAACCACTGCACTATTTTCTCTTCTTGCAATGCCTTAGAATTGCTAAAAGTGTTACAGTTACCAATGGTGCCAAACAGCATCATGAAAACATTAAAACAAACAAACAAACAAAAAAAACATTACCTTGAGATTCCGTATTTCAGTGCACTGGCAACTGGAACATGAAAAATTAAGAACTATGGCATCTCAGACTACGGTTGGAGTCAGCTCCTGCAGCCCTTCCCTGCCCTACCAACTGCATGGAGCAGGAACTAACAGGCCAGCAAGGTGTCTGTCCACACCAGCCTGTGGGACGAAGCCTGACACTTCACAGTGCTCGTCACAGGATTCTACTGATGCTAAAATGCTGGAGCTGTATAAGTTACTTAGTTTCCTATGGATGTGAGGCATGGTGGAAACTAGTGGATACATACTACAAAGTGTTTGTGAGCATTTCCTCTACAGGCAAAAATGAATAGAACAAGGAAAAAAAAAATCATTTTGCTGACACATCTGATGTTTAAAACTGCAAATACAGTCATCATCCAAAGCTGTAGTTGAAGCAAATATTGTTGGTGGCTGAACAAACAATGCTTCTCGTGTCCCAGTGTCTCGTATAACCTACTAAATACTTAAATGAGGGTCAGGAAAAGTATACAGGCATCTCAGCTGTCTATAGGAGAGGCTCATGTTCTGGGTCAGAAATCACTGTGGCTAGGAAGGAATGCAAGGCATGACATACCCTTGCAATGCAATCACTGAATTGAAAAAAATTCATGGAGAATGTCTAGCATAAATTACTGTTTCCATAACCATTGGCCCAATATATTACTCATACTGGAAACCTTTTGCAATTAATTGAAATTGAGCTGTCTGGATGTAATGTTTCAGGAGGGACTTTATCAGACTTGGTTTGTGATGAAGTGACACTCAGTAAAGTTAGTTTCAGATACCAACACAGTGGAACCCTGCGCCAATATGGCAGTGAAGCCCACGGTTTGCATTTGTAATCCCACACATCTGCAAGACTAGAAGTGAAACCCACATTGAATTACATTTGTTAGACTCTCTCAGCCCACTTCTGAAAACTCCATAGACAGGGGAAATTTATGTAACTGAAATTATTTAGAAGAGTCAAACAAATATTAACATATTTTCAAATAGGTTATTGTCTACACTTCAAGATTTTATTTTCAGGCTTTGGAGATACAACCGACTCTATAAAGAATAGGAAGAAGTCATTGCTTCTCCAATGAATTCTTTGCTTTTCTGGTTAAAAAAAATATAAATAAATCCAGCCTGTTTGTTATGGTTGGCCTGCAGTGGTAACCTTGGCTGGATGAGACGCATTATGTCAACATAGCATTGTTGACTTTCTTGTTGTACTTGCACATTCCAGCACTCTACCAAAAGAGAAGGATAAAAAAAGGCCAGTAGGCAATATAGACATGTACACTGAAAAATCTTCACTGGACTGAACAAAACAGACTCTGAGCTCTACTAGGCCCACAGAAGCTGGAGACAGCAGGCATAACACCAGGCAAAGGTGAGGGGGAAGTCAGTTCAGCTACCCCCTCAGGATGCCTGTGGGGCAGGAGGAGATGGCAGCAGCATGCTCTCTCAGAGGAAAACTGATGAGGAAGAGAAATAGATGAGCAAAGATATGCCTCTTACCTTTTTGCTTACAACAGGAGTTTTAATCTCCAGCATCCCCACACGGTGTGCATAATATATAGCATACAGGGTGACAACCTGAGAAAGACTTGTAGCTCTATGTTGATTATGCCTTTGGTCTAAAACCTACCTGCTATCACTAGAGCTTTGTATACCACAGCCTTGCCTTTTTTTTTTTTTAAATTTCCCCCCTGCCCCAACTTCATTTTTTCATTCATCCCCATGTAAGGAGATCTGTGACTAAGCTGGTAACTGGCAGAGGCACAGGAAATGATATGTCTTATGCAGGTAACCATGGCAGTAGAATTTCAGTAGTAGGGTGTTTCCTCTAGAGAGGAAGAAAATCTTTCACGTAGCAGAGCTGTAACTGTGGACTTACAAAGTTACCTTGAAACAACAAACGTGTCACTGAGGACTGACTCCAGAACCTGCTCAAGAAGCTGAGCACTTAGTGCCTCAGCAGTGCTGAGGTGTCTTCCACACTTGTTACTTTACTGGCACTTTGCAAGTGAGTTACTCCGAAGCTATTTAAAGGTAATTACAGAACTGATTGCAGTGTAAATATTCTCTCACTACATCTGTGTCCACAAATGTCTGTCAAGCATACCAATAGCTGGGACACAGTTCTGTTCTAACAGAAAGCCTCTTAGAAAACAGCCCATGGAAAAAGAACACGTTTGAAGAAATTGTGTGATTCTATAAAGGTTAACTGAAATGAAGGATAAACTGAAAAGTTATTCCAGTTGAATTATAGAAGAGTCACTTATGGCTGCTGGGTTTTTTTGTATCCCTTTTTCCAGTGCCTCAACTAAGAAGAAAAAGCTTTGGGTTTTCCTAAAGTTTGGGAGAAAAAAAAAAAAAAAACAAAACCACAACACAAACCTTTCTTTAGATAAAGTGTTGTGAGATTAAAATGTTAATTTTGCTGAGATAGTCTGGAGAGAAGTAAGCCTAACCTACATGGGTCAAGTCTGAATTAGTTCTTTTTGACAAAGAGAAATCTTGTTGAACAAAAACATCCAGTATGGACTAGAAATTAATTTTCAGCTATAGGGAGCTGAGCTGATTTAAGACTCCAGCAAACATGTTTCACATAATTCATAAGGGAAATACAATGGGATATTGTTGGAATTGTTTGTCAGGGACCCTGAACAGCAGCTGAAGTTCTTGAGGATGACTTCATTGAACTAATAGTGCCAAGTCACATATAGCACTCATTTCCTATGGTTAGTACGAAGTTGTTCAAAAGTTAGAAAAGTAATGAATTTAAGCCTCAAGACAGTAATCTAAACTGTGCATAAACCCCATTATCAGTACCAGTCCAAGCATCATGTATATTACAGTACAAGAGCATTACTGAGAGAATTCATTTTAAGGATAAATCACTTGACACTACAGAATTTGATTATTTTTGGAATACAGCCATTGGCCAATGGCTTTATTACCATATTCTGAGTAATCCATTCCTCAGTCTTTGGAAGAGCCTGTCATCTTACCTATATGTTGTTTCATTGTCTAGAAGACTTCTTCACTGTGCAGAGTTACCTCGTCATGATGTGCTCTGGACTTCAGTTGTAGGCTTAGTAACCTCCACAGGGTTACGGAAAGTGTCTATTCCATGTCAAATGAGCAGCCACAAACATTTGTAACATTTAAGAGTCAACATGAAACATCTACAAAGCAAAATAATTGTTAGGCCATCCTACACAGGCATATTAACTCTATAATAATAACCATATACATGAGACAAATTATCCAAAAATCCCATAGACATTGAGTCTGCATTTGTAATGGGAAACAGGACACCTTTACAACCCCCTCAAATGGGCTTCTCTTTAAGATACTTTATCTTTTCCTTCTCCAGCTATATGTGCCTTCTTTACACATTTAGTAAGTTTTCTACTCCAGCCCTATAGCCCACAATTTTTTATTTTTTTTTTTTCATACCATTAACTTAAATTCCCATCCTCAACCCCAGCCAGCAGAGCATGCTGTTTGAATACTAGACATAGAATTGGCATGTAAAAGCAACTCTTAGAAACTTGGTCTCCTCTGTTTTGGGGTGCGTGAGCCACGTCCTCTTCCCTTTGGTAAAAGTTAACTAATCCCAGGGTGGCTAACACAATGCACAGTCAGTTTATGAGACACACTGGAACCAAGGATTTGGCACAAGAACTCCGACTGAGGAATCCAGTAAAAACTTGGCCCTCAGCTAGTAATGTTCTGCTTGTTCTGGGCATCTCAAAGGAAGATCTGAACAATTGCTGCATGTAATTAATAATTCCATTGCTGTGTCCTGTCCCTCCCTCAGAAAGAAAATCATCATTTCCTAGTATATCATTGCAAGAAAACGTTATGCTATTTATGCCTTTCGTAAGTGATGGACCTGGGAGAAAGAGAAGAACAAAATCACTGCCAAGCTTTTTGTTTGTTTGTTTTGGATAGGAGTCCTTCCAGCAGCTTCTTTTGAAAAAGCTTGGCCAAAAAGTAGCAAATCTGTAAGTAGCAGGGTTTGTTAATGACATGCTAGAATCACTTCTTTCAGCCTTTTCCAAACAGAGCGGATAGATGAATGGATGGATGATTCATCTTTGAAAAGGTTTGCAACCTCAAGATTTAAGACAGACAAGTCTGTAGATATCACTTTCCATCCCAATGTGACAAAGGAATGTTCATTCATGCTGCACCATACTTGATAGTAATGTGAAAACTGTAAAGGCAGCAGTACAGCAAAGGACAGAAAGAAACTCCACACATTGCACAGTGTTATTTTGCACAAATATTCTACTAAAGTTAAACAAAATTAAAAAGGCTTTGTGAAGTGCCTATGGTGACCCTTCAGTAATTTCTTGTAAAAAGAATTACCTATATACTCATTAAGATGTACTTTGAAATCATTTGCATTTTTATGGATGGAAAATAAGGCATTCTAGAAAAGTTGCCTTCATATAAAGATTCACCATAGCCCTTTATTCCATTTGTAGAACCCAATCATAATTAAAGACACATGAATATAATGTCACAGTGTGATGAAAAGCACAGAAACAATAGCAGAGTAGCAAAGCCCTGGGCTGTAGCAAGCGAGGATTTACTCAAACACAAGAATCACAGAAACAAAGAAAAAAATAAAATAAATAAAAACCCACTTACCCTTATAAGGCCTCAGGTAAGCAGGGACCACCAGCAAGATACTGCTGCCTCCACTGCCAACCCTTAAATGATGTCTGGGAAGGGGTGGAGCCAGGATCCAGATGCATTCACCTGAACTCCCTTCCCACCAGGTGCTCAGTCACTGTTTCAAGCCGTGACTTAGCATTTCTGCTGCTATGAACAAATTCCAATATAGGTATAGGGGTGTGATGTGAACAGTGCAGAAGGAATTTCTCCATGTTCCTTCCTCAACTAATTTGCGATGAGGTAGGCAAGCTGTGCGCTGTAGAAGAACAATTGGCAGATGCTAGCTCTACCAAATCAAAGAATTTGAGGCCACAGGACCTGTTAATAAGCATTGGGTGGCAGGGACTGACAGAGTGGTCTTTCAGCTGCTCCTGTCAGCAATCTGTAGCTCCTCTAGTTTTGTATCAGTCTCAAGAATGAGTCAGGAAGAAAGGGTAACAATAACTATTCTGTCTTTCCTGTATTTTCTTCCAAATGTCTTAATGTTTCTTCAAGCTCTAGAAACATCAAGTGAAATTTGTTTTCTTGTCAAGCCTTTCTTTTCTGTGCTCTTGTAATTATTATACGAGTATTCAACCACGTCCTACATCTTCCCTTGTCCCCCGCTTTCTGCATCTTGCTATATTGTAATTTAACCACAGGGCAGATTTCATTACCATATTCCTTATTTTTCCACTCAGCAATATGATTTGGGAATTGACATCCTTCTGCTACTGAATTTGGTGCCTTTTCCTCCCTCACAGAAATAGGAAGATATGGGCCCTGATTATACTGTGTTCATTTATTCTGACGTCTTCCTCAGTCTATGATTTCTGTTGCCCTTTCCATTGCCATAATTTCTCATTGTGTGCTTTGTTTTCTTCCATCTACATGGCCATCCAAACACCTATTTTCTTACTCTTACTGCAATTAATCTCTTCTAAAAATCCAGTTTCTCTGAGAGAAATGGCCTTCCAAGTCTATAAAAATAAATTGGATCAAAATATTAGTATAACTGCTCTCATTTACACTTAAAATCCTCATGCACCTCTCTTCTTCCTTTGTTCTCTGAGAATTTTGCCTAATTTGACTTTGGCAAAATGTAAGCTTCATGAACAAGGAAAACAAGTAGCTGAAATTTCAAATTACATTTTTTTGAGACCCAAATTAAGACTAAAACACTTGGCATATTCTGGAAGTTAGTTCTGCTTAGTGTTGAAAGTTAAGCATTGAGCCTCAGAGTATGCCATGCCTTTTGTTGGTTGGAAAATCTTGGCCTTTATGTCCCAGCCATTGCTAAAGATACTGCTGAGTCATCAGTTAGTGCTATTACCATTACATGCAGTGTGTCAGAGCATTCCAGTTGGTTTCTTCTCTTTTAGGGATGGATTACATTAATTGTTATACTATGAGAGAACTGAAAAACTTATAATTCTCTGCTCTGTGCTGCTAGAATTGTGCATGCTGTTTGAGACAACCCCAGGACTTGGGCAGAGGTGTACTGGCTTTGGAAATGATTGTCTGATTCAGTAGAAGAGAGACAAAAAGAGACAGAAAATACCCTGCTCTGCCTACCAGAAACCATAACGGAGGGGAACTTTATGTGCAACAGTAATAATAGCATGCAACTCGGTGGCACAAGTCATAATTAGAACACTTCCCCAGTGATGAAAGACCCGCCAGTTTCATATCATTCATCTGACATTAAAATACTGTACTGCAGAAAGACGTGGTTAGTTTTGAGTCTGTAACGTAGTCATTCCCTCGAAAAAATCAGTGGATACTCATAGATGTTTGCTGTGTTTTGTAACACTGACAACTACCACAGGCAATACAATTTTAAAAATAACTTCCATAGAAGAACTTTCAATTTACTTCCTGAGATCATAAATTGTCAGAGTTATTCAGAAAAGGAGGCTTAAGGGCCTGAACACTTAGTTGTTAGTAAATTTTTGGGTTCACAAACCCACATCAGCTTCTCTCAAGGTTTTTGGGGTTCAGAAAAAGCAGCTTTTCTCTGGGCTTAGAGGAGGTGTTTTCAGCACAATATACAAAGTGCTGGAACAGGCTGCAGGAAGCATTGTCCTTCCCCTGGGCCCAGCTACACCCAGCTCCCAGCCAGAGGGAAGGACTGCCCCAGCAGAACAGTTACACCACAACTTACAACCATTTATTTGGAAATAGGAACCTAGGGCCTTTCTGATTTCAAAACCAGAGAAGCCTGAGTCTTGTCAAACCACAGCTGAAGGAAGAAGTGGTCTTTTCACTAGAAGTTACAGAGTACAGTCAAGCAGCAGTCCCAGCACTTGTGTGTCTGAATATTATGGAGATTCCCTATTCAGCTGCTGCAGGACATTAACCCTCTTTCATAGTCTCCTGTTGAAGCAGTCCCTCTTGCACAGAGCATGTTCAATATTCATGGACCTGGGGGAAGTGAGAAGGAAAGCCTCTGTGGGCCGATGCCTTCCAGTCCTTGCTCCCAAAAGGACTCAGGGCTGCTTTATGGAACTGACAACAAAGGGAACTGCATTTGCATTGCAGGGTATTTTGGCTGGATGTCTTAGGCTTACGGGTCATTGCATACTTTCTGGGGGACAAAAAAAATCATTTCATACTTTAAAGCAGAACCCTCACTAAAAGTACAGAAGTTTGATCGATGCAATGATTCAAATCAGTTTAGTCAAGGCCTGGGATAATTGGAAAGCACATTCCAAAACATGCTAGATGGACTAAATTCCTTTAATTTCTTGCTGCCTAAATCAAATTTTAAAAAACTGCAAATGCTATTATTTTCAGTGATGTTATCAGAAATACGTGTTTTCCAGAGAAAATTACAAGGATTTTTTCATTCTTATTGTAACCGATTTTCAGAATATAGCAGTACATCTGCGTCCTCTTGGCTGCAGCCATTGACTCCCCTCTGTCCTCCCTCCTCAGCTGTCTGTGATTCCTGCAGCTATGGTGAGATGCAGTCTTTCCTGACAAGTGCTGTGGAGATCCTTCAATGAGGACAGTTCTTGTTCCCCTTTGGGCTTGGGATGCAAATATGGACTACATTTATTGCAGCTGTACAAGAAACTTCCTCCATTTCTGCACCTGTGCAAGTGCCCACTAGCAAAAGGTACTGTAGGGTTTATTATTCAGTCCTTATAACTGAATATCTTTGCATTTTTAGGGAAATTTCACAGGGAGAAACAGCAATGAGGCAGGTGGCCAAGAGCACATATGGCAGCACTGACATAAACATATGAAAATTATATCCAAAACAAGAGGTCCGGTTTTTTGTTTTGTTTTGTTTTCTTTTGTTTTGTTTTTTTTTTTTACCAAAGCAAACACATCCCTGAATTTCAGGGGCAGAGCATTGTTGGAGTGAAGGATGGCAGTTGCGTGTGCGTGCCATAAAGGTTTTGTAGAGCATAAACAAGCTGTGGGCCATTAAGAGAAGCAAATGGAGCCAAGTGTACCTTTAGCAGCCCAGCAATCTGTGACAGCTCTGTGCTGAGTGCAGCTCTTCCCTTGGGGAGCCACTTGCTGCCTG